TGATGTTTTGATATAAACCAAGTTTTGAAACTTTATAAAATGATTTTATAGACTTAATAAAATATGTATATAATGATTGTTAAGTCCATAAACAAATAACTCAATATTTTCACAAATTTATATTTATATAAACTGAAAAACAAAAAACCAAAACGTGTATATATATAACTATATATATATATATATATAACTATATATATATATATATATATATATATAGAAACCAATAAAATGTGTGTGTATATATTTTTGAGCTTAAAGTATTGAACACACATAATATAAACCTAAACTAAATTACCCAAGTTTGATAGATCTTCAATGAGCTCTTCTTAGTAAACATGGATGAAGCTTGAACTTGAATCTTTGACTTGAATTGTGCATAGGTTCACTCCACTATTCCGCCAACCTCCATTAGATATGACCGTGAAAGCTCAATTCCATCCATCCTCCAACACATTGTTTGTCTAGAATAAATAAGAAAAAACACAAACACTAGCAAATAATATTAGTAATGAATTATTTGTAAAAACATCATCAAAACAAAAAGGCCAACAATCTCTTCGTTTTTTATGATGACAAACAATTTACACAATGAGATATGCATGATATGAAATGAATATAAATTATGATTATCATGCATAAAAATAAACAAGGTATACTCACAATATTTCCCTCCCTTTGACAACATCAAGAAGGGGAAAACAATAAAAGATAACAAAGCATAAGCTCCCCCTACAAATTTGCATAGACGAGTATAAAAACAATAAAGGAATAGGGAAGACTCCCCCTATCAAAATGTCTTAAAGAATATATGAAATGAGTACTAAGGCAAACACGTGAGTAAGCATAAATGAGAAACATGCCAAATATCACTCACATACAACAAGACAATGAGAACACATATTGATATGTCATTAAAAAAACATAAAAACCATATGAAAATAGATTTATGAAAACAAATGAATAGGAAACATGAGAATCATGAAAAAAGGTTTTCAAATGAAAACAATTCAACCAAACAAAATCATAAATCAATGAATCCAACCAAGATCAATTTCAACAAGAAATCAAGAGAGACAACCACATCAACTCATATAAACATATATCACCCGGTAAACATGAAACAAATCCGGGGGTTGCTTAAACACAAACCTCTTATGAAAAATAAAAATTAATAAAATAAAAACAAAGGAATTGACTTAAAAAATGTTTTCATTTTCAAGAATTTCAAACCACTTTTTTCAAAACCAAAAAATAAAAACATTAAAAAATTTGATTAAAAATTAAAAAGATTTTGGTACCCAATTATTCTTGGTACCGGAGAGTCTAGAGACATGACCCCTATTATGAAAACTCAATGTCCTAGGGTTATGATCCCTTTTGGGCGTATTTTGTGCACGAGTCCGATCATAGCAATATTCACGTAAATGACACATCCGATTCCAATAAGAACAATAAAAAGGATGCATTTGTTTTTGTTGACCATGTGGATGTGCACGTGAAACATTTGCAAAAATAGATTGTTTTTTAAAATTATTTTGCAAATAGAAAACTCTTTTTAAATCAAAACAAATTTTGGTCAAATGATCAAATCTATCATAATAATCACATTGATACATATTAGCATGCTTATGATGAACTTTGTGAGTATGAGCATATGAATGTGTATGTGTATATGATGATGAAGCTTGATGGGATGCACTAGGAACATTAGATTTTGTGGGTTTACGTGCATCATAGTAAAATTTAATAATGTGATCTTTTCGGCCGCAAATGAAACATTTGTAAACTTTGCTATATATATGTGCATAATGAGTGGATGATTTTGCATTAGACTTGGCACACATATCCATAAGTTTCTTATGATTAACAATGCATAAATTAAGAGTTAAATCTAAAGAGGTAATATGATTTTTAACATCATTCAACTCATCATTAGGCACATATGCATTAACATTAGAAGTAGAACATATATGATTATTTCTAAAAGAATTAAACTTATTTTTAATATTCTCTACTTCTAATATGGTATTATTCTTAGCATGAGATAAGCTAGAAATGGATGAGGTTAATTTTTTATTTTCCAAATTTAACAAGTCATTGTTTTCTTTAAGCATAGTATTTTCTTTTACAATGATATCAAATTTGGACATTAGCTCCTCATGATCGTATTCTAATGTAACATGCTTGTTTTTTAAATTAATAAAATTATTATGCAACTTAGTGTAGGCATACATTAACCTATCATATGCACAAATGAGTTCATTAATGGATAATTCACTATCGGATTCTGAATTGCTTACCACACTAGGGCTATCGCCTAGTGACCGTGTGCACGATAAGGCTCCACATGAACTTGAAGAGAAATCCGCCAAAATTTGTCGGATTGCCTCCAAGTTTTCTTGATGTGCTTCTATGAATTTTTATAATTTGTAAGCACTATCAAATGAATCAAGCTTGTTAGAAAAAGATAATTTTCTATGAATTTTTATAATTTGTAAGCATTATCAAATGAATCAAGCTTGTTAGAAAAAGATAAATCAAAAGCATTACGTAAAAATTCTAACAAGAGCTTATTCATTGTAAACATCTTATGATCATTTTTACTCCACTTGGATTTCTCCGAAGTGGGTATAATATAAGCACAATCTATAATTTCTCATAAATCAAAGTGTCTAGATCGAACAAAAAGTTTAAATCTAACACACCATTAAGCATAGGGAAAATTATCTAATCTAGGAGCAATATTAATGGCATAACCAAGACTAGGTGCACCGTACATATCCATAATTATAATTATATGCAAGCAAGATAAATATAATCAAAACTAGATTAGCACAATAAGATAACTTGGATCTTTAACTCAAGGCGATTAGACCTTAAATCAAATAGTACCAAGCTCTGATACCAATTGTTAGACCCTAATATCACTAGGAAAGAACCCTAGAGGGGGGATGAATAGGGTCTTATGCTAATCTATTCTGATTTATGCTAAATTAAAAACTTATTAATAAATATCCTAGGAAAATAGATATGCAACACTTAATATGTAAGGATATGAAACTAAGGATGATGTAAACACAAAGCAATATAAACAAGATAGTGGACAAACTAAATAATGAGACAATGACGATATAAGCAATGAGCACAAATATAAGTGAACGCCAATGTACACTCAAACACATAAAAAATGGTCACGGAGTTCGGACCTTCCGTCTTACGTCTCCGCTCCCCACTCCCGGGGAGAATCCACTACACAACCGAACGCTCACCCGAATAACGTTTACACCACACAATATCAGTTTTCAACGCTCATCGATCAAACATTCACAATCACTCACAATGTAACTACACAACTGTCACCTCAAGTGTTAGCCTCTCACGTGTCTTCCTCAAGTGCTTGAAATTACTACCTCTCACTAGACTTTACTACCGATAATACTCCTCTAGGTACCGACCACGTCTCTCACCTCTACACTCCTCTTGGTGTACTTATATAATATAAAATGAACCTCACAAATTAACGCTCAACACTAAATGATTATTCTCTAAACAAGGTGAGCAATTAAGCTCAACTCAATGTTATAAACTCTCACAACCCTAATAATACTATGTATGAAAATACTAAAACCTCAAGTGGGTGTGTGTAACAATGAGATTTAACAAATAAAACAAATCTAAACTCAATTATAAATCTAGCTTTAATAAAAATGTTAAACAAACAAATATATAAATGTAAAGCTAGATAGAGTTTAGAAACACTTCTCTAAAGATGACAAGAGAGAGAGAAGAGTGAAGCTCAAACACAAATGGTGATCTCCTCTAACTCTTATGAAAATTTCTTCACAAACTGAAACTTGAAACAAACTTGAAACCCTTAAACAAACTTGTAAAACTCTTTTAAAACTTTTCTCTTCATTGGTTTTAGTTCTGAGGTATGAGGGGTATTTATAGAGACCCCAAAACACAAGAAAAACAAAGCAAAAAGACCAAAAATCTAAAACAGGACAAAGCTGAAAAAACTAGTCGTTACAGGCGTCGGTCGACTGATGAGCTGATTCAGTCGACTGACGAGCTGACTGTTACAGACAGGTAATAGTTTATCAGCCGACTGATGACCTCATCAGCCGACTGATGACCTCATCAGCCGACTGATCAGTCAACTAAATAAGAAACAGAAACTATTGATGATTTCAGGCGGTTCTTTTAGTCAACTGAACACTTGTATTAGTCGACTGATAACATAATATCAGCCTAATTAAAACAAAAAATCTAATTTTAAAGTGTATTTAAAAATAGCAAATAAATTCTAAAAAATATAAAAAATTTGGAAATGATTGTAAACATGTAAATGAACATATTATAAAAAGAATTTTTAGAATTGCACTTCTCATTTGTGAAAAGTCATCATTTTGCAAAAATACCTAAAACATGAAAAGTTGATAGACATGAATTTTGATGTTTTGACATAAACCAAGTTTTAAAACTTTGTAAAATGATTTTATAGAATTAATAAAATATGTATATAATGATTGTTAAGTCCATAAACAAACAACTCAATATTTTCACAAATTTATATTTATATAAACTTGAAAACAAAAAACCAAAACATGTATATATATATATATATATATATATATATATATATAAACCAATAAAATGTGTGTATATGATATTGAGCTTAAAGTATTGAACACACATAATATAAACCTAAACTAAATTACACAAGCTTGATAGATCTTCAATGAGCTCTTCTTGGTAAACATGGATGAAGCTTGAACTTGAATCTTTGACTTGAATGTGCATAGCTTCACTTCACTATTCCGCCACCTTCATTGGATATGATCGTGAAAACTCGATTCCATCCATCCTCCAACACATTGTTTTGCCTAAAATAAATAAGAAAACACAAACACTAGACAAACAATATTAGTTGTAAATTGTTTGTAAAAACATCATCAAAACAAAAAGACCAACAGATTCCACATTTCCATATTGTGAGATACAATGATGTTTTTCGTTCTAGGCCAACTCAACCAATCATGCACCTCATCTCCGTTGATCTCAGGCTCTCAGCAGTCTATTTTTCTAGCACATCTTTATGCATTTTACATTACCGACTTCAAACATGCTCCTAATTAAAATCATAAAGGTATTAGCACAAGGTTGCAACTCCTTCTGTATCATCTCATCATAGAAAGCCAGTGCCTTTTTAATCTCACCTTTCCTGCAACACCCTTTTATCATTGCATCAAACATACAACTGTTGAGGGTCATGGATTTCTCTTTAATAATATTTACGAATTTTTCGGCTTCTTTCAAATCTCCACATTCACAAAGATTTCTAATCAATGAAGTCTGGACCAAAGGACCAATAGTGAGGCCTCTGTGCTCCATTTCATAGTATATTTTAAGAATCTCTTGAGCCTTTCTAATCTTTCCGTATCCATCCATGAGCTTAGAGTAAATCTCTTCATTTGGCACAAACCCTTTATCGATTAAAACAGTTAATAACTCACTTGCTTTCTCAACCTCTCCAGCTTCTGAAAGCTTTCCTGCGATCTCACTGCAAGCTGAACAATCAAGAATAAATCCTTTCTTCAGCATCCTCTCATGCAACTTCAAGCTATCATCCAATCTCCCAACTCTGGAACAACCTCCCATAAGAAAATTGTAAGTCTTGTCATACGGCTTCAATCCAATGGATTCCATTTCTTCCATCAATCGCATAGCTTTTTCAATCCTTCCATCCTTACAATATGCTCCTATAAAAGAAGTATGAACAAAAGCATTAGAACTGAATCCTCTCTTAACCATGCTATCATAAAATTCATAGGCCAGCTCCAATTTACCCATCTCGCAATACCCATATATAACTAAAGAATTCATCACATCATCTAAGATCAACTTCTTTTGCAAAAGTCTTTTAAGCAACATGACCCCTTCTTCGATTCTACCCTCTTGAAATATCCTCAAAGCCAACCTCAAATTAACAATCACTCCAGGGCCACAATTTTTCCTGCGAATTCTACTCAAAACATCAGTCATCGTTCTTAAACTCCCCTCCTTGCACATAACATCGACCATAATCTCAACAGTTCTTTGGTTTGGATAAACTCTTCTCTCAATCATATATTCATACACCTTCCATGCAAAATCGTTCTTATCTGATCTCTGAGCAACACGCAACATCGAATTAAAACTGATGAGACTAGAACAGAACCCATGATCACTCAAGTAACAACAAGCATCAAAAGCAAGCTCAACCGTCCTCATCTTTGAATAAGTCTGTACTAAAAGATCAAACACCCGAGGACCGGGTAATGCAAGTCCATAAGTGCTCAAAATGGTCTCTGCCACTGAAATTCTCGAGTGCTCGGATGCTAAATTCTTTTTTATACAAGACTCAAGCAATGCCTGGGCATCAGTAAGCAGCCCAGCATGAACAAGGATGTGAATAACTATGCAATAAGAGCGAAGCCCATGTCGAAAGTTTTGATCTTGGGAGGACCAGTGGAAGAAAGTCAAGGCCTTTTTGGCGTTCATGGGTTCTTTGAGGTTGAGGAGGACTTTCTCTACAAGGGTTTCAGTTAATTGGATGGAGGGAAATTTGGAAGTTAGAGTGTCCCAGTTTGCTCCTTGAGCTAAAAGATTGCAAACTGGGGCTACAAAGTCTGAGGAATTTGGCTGTTTGGCTAGGGTTTGGGATGATCTGAGATTGAAGGAGGAGTAGGGTTTAAGAGATTGGGAGATATTATGGGTGAGGGTTCGAGGAATTCGAATAAAGGACATCATGAATTAATGAAGAAATGCATGAAAAATTAGCAGAAATTAAATCCTTGATGTTATAAAGTAGGGTAAATTACAAATAACCCCCCATTTATACACTCACTAGCAGACAAGCCCCTTGAGTTATTACTTATTTCTTAGCGCTCAACAGTTGGCCTCCTTCAATTCAAGAATTGGAGAGGTGTTATCTGCAATTTATCTTTTATTTCTAAAAATTGCAATTCAGCATGCTAAGTGCTAACATTAGATGAGTTAAGAGGGGTACATGCTACTGAATATATAGATCAAGGGTATTATAGAGTAAATCATGTAAAACTCTATATTTTGATAGAAATGGAAGTCTGAGAAACGTATATGCAGAAAAAAGTAATAAATTTTATTTTCTGACTGCTTATTTTAAGATTAATAAAATGGTTTTGAGGAGGGAATGGCGGATTTAAGAACCGTATTAAATGAAACCATTTAACTGTTCTATTTAGTCCTATTTTTTTTTTGAATGTTTTGTTTGATCTTATTTAAGCATAACTTGTTTAGGCCCTAATTCTATATGATTGTCTTATTAGTACCTTCTTATGTTCCATAAGTTAACCCCGTGATTTTCACATGATGAAACTGGACAAAATTATCTCTAATTGTTGGTAGTTCCAGGGAGAAACTAAACAAATGAAATTATACTCGAAAGTCATAAACTTGACCCCAGCTCTGAACTCTTACCAGCTTCAGAAACCGTCAATTCACCAATCGAATCATTATTGTCCAACATTTCTCAAAGAAAGGACTTCAACAATACCCAACTCAATAAGATTACCATTCAGTTTGAAAGCAAAAAAAGAAAAATAACAAAAACACACAGCCGTGTATATGTAACACTCTCATCCACTTTTTATGTTAGTATACAGAGAAGGATTTCACCAAAAAATAAGAGGTTGAAAGTTGCAGCATACAATATCTCATGCCTAATCTCTAATTCTCCCCGACGAACATGCTCAACAAAAAAAATTTGAATAATCCCGCAAGTCACCATTGCAAAAGAATAAGCATAGAAGATAACAAAACACAATTCACAGAATTCCCTCTGGTTTCATCTTTAGATGAGATTTGCCTTCTTCAAGAACCTAATCGTTCTACAGTAGTATGGCCATATCGACTCAACATAATCCAAGTACTTCTCAACTGCCCACTCTTGAAGCTGTTTCATCTTTCTCGCAAACAACTGTTTATAATCCATGTTCTTGAAATCATCGACAGGCTTCCAGAAACGAACATATAAATATGCTTTCAGTTTTCCGTCGGATATGTAATTATAGACCAACAGATAGTAGGATGGCAAGTTCTTCACTAATCTGATAGCCGATATAAGACAAAAGATATAGAGAGAACAAAGAACGCGTATAATCTTTACATAGAGAGCAACAATCAGTGGTCCAATAACCCACATCGGAGTTAATTCCTTCGTGACTTCAGCTCCATACACCGTTCTGACTGTAAGGTAGAAGGGAATGCTGCAACAAGAGAGATAATGGTCAGAACATCAAGGAGAATATCTCATAGTTTTCCCCTTGTATTCTGTAGCTATATATCTCTAGTGGTCAAATAAGACACAATAAGATTCATTGAATCGGGGGGAAAATTATCCTAAGAAGTACTTCAAACTAAAGTGATGGAATCTTTTCCCCCTCAGTTTTTCTTACGTACCTGATCACGATTGTTTGAACTATGATCTAAGAGAATTAAGTTTTCCTTTTCTCTAAAATTGCACTTGCAGTTATAGATATCGCAGAGACAAAGAAGGCAAAAATAAGGAAACCAGGCATTTCGTTCATATAATAAACCAAAATACACAACTAAGTTATAAGGACAAGTCATCTGTTGCATCCACAATGTCACATTAAAAAACTCAAGAAAAAACTGAAACCGAAAGAAACCTACAGCATCCACAAAGAAAAGTATTGCTTTAAAGGAACAGGATGGTTTAAATATGCAACAATAAAGCGCAACTACTAAAGTAAATAAGGAAAAATTTCAATCGAGCGAGAAAATCAATTTTTAGGTATGAACATTAGCCAAAAGGGAATACATCGTCCACACTATTGAAATTAAAAATAACAGCCCAAAAAAAAAGGGACCGAATATATTAATATCAACAACTTACAAGATCAACATTGGGAGACTAATTGCTGCATCAAGTTTCAGGAAATGCAACACCATGGATTTCAATACTTGTCCTGCTTCCCCTCTGAATGGTACTTTCCGACTGTCAGATGCTTCACTTTCTCCCATTTTTTCACCCGAAACCGCATTTGATGGACTCAAAGTCTGTGTCCACAACATCAAGAGCCACTTACTGAATAACTTTTGAATCGAAAGAGATCCCGCTGTTATGTCTTCTCTGTCTTCAGATGCATAGGATATCGACTGAGTTCGTTCATCCAGAGATTCCTTTATCACTTCTTTCTCCTCTTGTGTTTTACATAACTGAACAGGGGTTTTGGTGAACTTGGAACTACCATTGCTATGATCTGATTCATCATTCTGGGTACTGCCTTTAAATGACAAGACTTGAAAAGGTTTTCTCTTCGACAAATTAATAGGATGGGATCTGAACAGAAAGCACACAATGCAAAGGATTAGGATGGGCTTTATGATGCACGAGTTTGATTAAATGAAATATGAATAAGCGTCAACGTGCATGTTGCGAGCATGTCTGAGAACAGTGTGGCGTTACGAACAGCTAAAGAATTCAGAGACAAATGGATCATGTATTCAAAAAAAACATTACATGGAGATCCTGAGAAAAGTTTCAGCACAAAAGCAAATGAAAAAGGAAAACAACACCATGAAACAGAATAGATAAATAAGTTTCTTATAAATCAATCATTAAAGTATGATCACAGCATAAGATAGAGAACAGATATGCCAAATATGTCTCATATCA